CAAGCCATCAGTTTCTTTACCATGGAAGCCAAAAACCTGTTGGCCCCTCCAAGAGCTGCTTATGCGAATAATCACTCCTGCCAGGGTTCCTCCTGCTGTGTCTTACTTCCAGCCACAGAGCAGGGTAACTTATCTATCAGCTTCTGTTGTATAAATTGAGATTATCTTTTAAGCAAGTTTTAAGCCAAATCAAGGGGTGGATGGCCATCTGTTTTAATCATTTTTCTTTTGAACATGAAACATAGAACAAAAATTATTTAAACAAGGAAACAAAGAGAGACAGTTGACACATGTGGGCAAATTAGGTGCGTCAAGGACAGACAATAGACAGAGAAAGCATAACTAAGAATCTCTCCCACAGGAGCCACGACTTCTCCTGAGTCTCTCCTGCTCCCAGGAGGGCTCTGAAATAGGCTTTTCTTTTCTTTTGCTAACACACCTGAGAGGGACAACTGCTTAGCCCTTTCTCTCCCTCATTCTCAAGGTCTAACTTTGCATCTTAGCATTTTGTCATCAATAGTTCCCTCTTGGGGAGACCATGGACAAACGCCACCAATGAATTCAAAGAAACTTTTAAGATCCCTTTTTCTTAACCCTTAATCCTTGTGCCGTGAGGGACTCTTTGGGACTCTTAAGAACAAATCTTGTTTGCTCAATGCTTGTCCCATAATTTCGTTGCTTCATCTTACCTTCACCGGATCAATTTTGCAGGCAGATAACTCTGCAGTGATCACAACCGGATCTACTTTCTTCCCTCCAGTGAAGCCCGGATCCTATGCTTGCGTGCGGGACATGCCTGTAGAAGCAATGTTCAATCGGACCCCGACCAAAGGGCAACATGTCGGGTGCCAAGTGCCCTGGCCCACGGGGTTTAGACGAGACCTTAGGGAAAAGGCAGGCGAGAGATGGAACAAGAGGCATAAAGAAGAAGCACAAGTCTGAATGTCTGATCAAGTGCTTAAACTTTACTATTCTGGTTTCTGTTATAAAGGCAGGCAGGCAGGAGGGTCATCTAGCAGTCAGGGTCCAGGGTCATCACATCATTGCAAAGTTCTCTAAGCCCACAAGAATTCCTAGCCCAAATTACTTACCTAAATATTTTCTCACAAGTAAGAAGGCAATTAAAACATTTCTCAGCTCGAGTTGCTTATCTGATTAATATTTTTTCCCTGGCAGGAGGGCAATAAAGTATTCCTTACTCAGGCTGTTTACTTAAGTGACATTTGCTCTAAAGCAGAAGGGAGTGTTGGCCCCCAGCACTCTAAAATCCAGTTCTTGGTTTTGTTGACTCTTTGTAGTATTTTCCTTGTTTGTAACTGATGGATATCAGTACTGACTAATTATTTCTTGCATTATACTTCTCTTTGGCATGCTTGCTTCTTTTGTTTTGTGAGCATTCAGGTGCACTTTTAAATTCCTGATATGAGAACTTTTTAATTTCTTTATGGAGGTACTTAATTCTCTGACCTTTTCCCTTAGCACTACATTCATTGCATTCCATAAATTTAGGTATGTTGTACATTAATTTTCACTGGATTAAAGAAATTTTTAAATTTTGTTCTGTATTTCTTCCCTGACCTAAGGATTATTGAGTAGAGAACTGTTCACTTTCCATGAGTGTGTTGTTTTAATTATTTAAATTTTCCTGCATCTGTGAGACTTGCATTGTGATTGACTATAAGATTAAGTTTGGAGAAGGATCCATGAGGTGCAAAGAAGTTATATTCTTTTTGTGTTTCAGTGAAATATTCTATAGATATCTGTTAGGTCCATTTGATGCATAATGTCTATTAGTTTATTTATTTCTCTGTTTAGTTTTTACAAGATGACCTGTGAATTGATGAGAGTGGAGTGTTGAGGTCTCTCATATTATTGTACTGGGTTTGATATGTGATTTATGCTTTAGTAATACTTCTTTTACAAATGTGGGTATTGCTGTGTTTGGGGCATTGATGTTCAGAATTGAGACATTGTCTTGGTAGATTTATTCTTTGAAGAGTACGAAATATTCTCCCCAGTCTCTTTTGCATACTTTTGGCTGAAAATCTATTATAGGGGATATTAGAATTGCTACTCCAGCTTGTTTCTTGGGTCCATTTGCTTGAATACCTTTTTTTGAGCCCTTTGCTCTGAAGTAATACATATCATTATGATTGAGGTGTTTTTCTTGTATGTATGCAGCAGAATGATAGATCCTGTTTTTGAATCCATTCTTTGACCCTGCGTCTTTTTACTTAGAAAATGAGTCCATTGATATTGAGAGATATTAATGACCAGTTATTGTCATTTCATGTTATTTTGATGTTAGTGGTTTTAATATGTGTGTGTGTGTGTGTGTGTGTGTGTGTGTGTGAGAGAGAGAGAGAGAGAGAGAGAGAGAGAGAGAGAGAGAGAGAGAGATTTAGGTGATTTCCTTGTTTGTGCTGGTATTGAATTACTTATTTCCTGTTCTTTGGGTATAGTTATGATTCTTGGGTTGGAGTTTTCTTTCTAGTATTTTTTTATAGAACTGTTGTCGGTTTTTTTTTGGTTTTTTTTTTGTTGTTTGTTTGTTTTATTTTGGACAGATAATGTTTGAATTTGGATGTGTCTTGAAACAATTTCTTTTCTTCTTTCTTCTTTTACGGTGATTGAGAGATTTTCTGGGTGTAGTAGTCTAGTTTGGCCCCTATTATTGTTGTTGTTGTTGTTGTTGTTCTTCTTCTTCTTCTTCTTCTTCTTCTTCTTCTTCTTCTTCTTCTTCTTCTTCTTCTTCT